GCATACTATATGTTACAGTCTGGGTCCTGGGCATACTATATGTTACAGTCTGGGTCCTGGGCATACTATATGTTACAGTCTGGGTCCTGGGCATACTATATTTTACAGTCTGGGCCCTGGGCATACTATATGTTACAGTCTGGGTCCTGGGCATACTGTATGTTACAGTTTGGGCCCTGGGCATACTGTATGTTACAGTTTGGGCCCTGGGCATACTGTATGTTACAGTTTGGGCCCTGGGCATACTGTATGTTACAGTTTGGGCCCTGGGCATACTGTATGTTACAGTTTGGGCCCTGGGCATACTGTATGTTACAGTCTAGGTCCTGGGCATACTGTATGTTACAGTCTAGGTCCTGGGCATACTGCATGTTACAGCCCGGGGCCTGGACATACTGTATGTTACAGTTTGGGCCCTGGGCATACCGTTTGTTACAGTCTAGGTCCTGGGCATACTGTATGTTACAGCCTGTTGCCTGGGCATACTGTATGTTATGTATGTTAGAAACTTAACTAACGTAGGCCTAATAAAAGCTATCCAAGGCATTATATAGTACATATATGTGCTATACTAGGCATAGAAGTACATGGTTTGTTTTTTATATATATTTTTTCGGACTATAAAGTGAATAGTGCCAAATTCTACTATCGAATTGCCTGTCACGTCCAAATATGTAGAAAGGTCCACACAGTTACAAGACTTACTGTCTACACAAGAAGATGTGATGCAACCTTTGTCAACACGCTCCTGCAAATTCTTTCTTGTTTGATTCATTAATTCATAGCAAATTTATGGCTGGTTCTCAAAATCTTTAACTTAACTCATTTTAGGCGCTAGGCGATGATTATGTGACGAGTTGAAGATAACACACACGAACAGAATTTGACTTGTAATAGAAACTAACACAATTTAACACTCACTTTTAGAATGACGAAAAACAATGTATTTCAACAATGTTGGGTTATATTTTATCTCTTAAATAACTGCATCAAAGTCAAAATCTCTACAAATACTTTCCCAAAATCGTTTCTTCATTCTTTCATTTGCAATGAAATTTCGCGGCGAACGTTTACCGAATAAACTAAATGGTCTGGGGAAATCAAATAAAATTCCTACCACTAGGCGCACACACTCAGCATAGACAACTGGGTTATGCTGTCACGATGCTCACCCAAATGCTAAACGTTTTCCAAACGTTTTAAAAACAAACGCAGCCTATCGTCCCACAGACAGGCACACGCTACTGGCCGATATTTAAGCACTTACGTTTCCACACATCATCGAGGAAGCAGAGAAATATAAACAGCGGGAAGATTGTAGTTACCAGGTAAACCACTACAGTACACAGTGGGGTCCTATGTACAGCAGGCCACAGTGGGGTCCTATGTACAGCAGGCCACAGTGGGGTCCTATGTACAGCAGGCCACAGTGGGGTCCTATGTACAGCAGGCCACAGTGGGGTCCTATGTACAGCAGGCCACAGTGGGGTCCTATGTACAGCAGTCCACAGTGGGGTCCTATGTACAGCAGGCCACAGTGGGGTCCTATGTACAGCAGGCCACAGCAGGCCACAGTGGGGTCCTATGTACAGCAGACCACAGTGGGGTCCTATGTACAGCAGACCACAGTGGGGTACTATGTACAGCAGGCCACAGTGGGGTCCTATGTACAGCAGACCACACTGGGGTCCTATGTACAGCAGACCACAGTGGGGTCCTATGTACAGCAGGCCACAGTGGGGTCCTATGTACAGCAGACCACAGTGGGGTCCTATGTACAGCAGACCACAGTGGGGTCCTATGTACAGCAGACCACAGTGGGGTCCTATGTACAGCAGACCACACTGGGATCCTATGTACAGCAGACCACAGTGGGGTCCTATGTACAGCAGGCCACAGTGGGGTCCTATGTACAGCAGACCACAGTGGGGTCCTATGTACAGCAGACCACAGTGGGGTCCTATGTACAGCAGGCCACAGTGGGGTCCTATGTACAGCAGACCACACTGGGGTCCTATGTACAGCAGACCACAGTGGGGTCCTATGTACAGCAGGCCAGTGGGGTCCTATGTACAGCAGACCACAGTGGGGTCCTATGTACAGCAGACCACAGTGGGGTCCTATGTACAGCAGACCACAGTGGGGTCCTATGTACAGCAGACCACAGTGGGGTCCTATGTACAGCAGACCACATGTTACCTGCTCAAGCTTCAGGGCCCACATGTTACCTGCTCAAGCTTCAGGGCCCACATGTTACCTGCTCAAGCTTCAGGCCCCACATGTTACCTGCTCAAGCTTCAGGGCCCACATGTTACCTGCTCAAGCTTCAGGGCCCACATGTTACCTGCTCAAGCTTCAGGCCCCACATGTTACCTGCTCAAGCTTCAGGGCCCACATGTTACCTGCTCAAGCTTCAGGTTACCTGCTCAAGCTTCAGGGCCCACATGTTACCTGCACAAGCTTCCACATGTTACCTGCTCCAGCTTCAGGGTCCACATGTTACCTGCTCAAGGGCTTCCTGCTCAAGCTTCAGGGCCACATGTTACCTGCTCAAGCTTCAGCTCCCACATGTTACCTGCTCAGGCTTCAGGGCCCACATGTTACCTGCTCAAGCTTCAGGGCCCACATGTTACCTGCTCAAGCTTCAGGGCCCACATGTTACCTGCTCAAGCTTCAGGCCCCACATGTTTCCTGCTCAAGCTTCAGGGCCCACATGTTACCTGCTCAAGCTTCAGGGCCCACATGTTACCTGCTCAAGCTTCAGGGCCCACATGTTACCTGCTCAAGCTTCAGGGCCCACATGTTACCTGCTCAAGCTTCAGGGCCCACATGTTACCTGCTCAAGCTTCAGGGCCCACATGTTACCTGCTCAAGCTTCAGGGCCCACATGTTACCTGCTCAAGCTTCAGGGCCCACATGTTACCTGCTCAAGCTTCAGGGCCCACATGTTACCTGCTCAAGCTTCAGGGCCCACATGTTACCTGCTCAAGCTTCAGGGCCCACATGTTACCTGCTCAAGCTTCAGGGCCCACATGTTACCTGCTCAAGCTTCAGGGCCCACATGTTACCTGCTCCAGCTTCAGGGCCCACATGTTACCTGCTCCAGCTTCAGGGCCCACATGTTACCTGCTCAAGCTTCAGGGCCCACATGTTACCTGCTCAAGCTTCAGGGCCCACATGTTACCTGCTCCAGCTTCAGGGCCCACATGTTACCTGCTCAGCTTCAGGGCCCACATGTTACCTGCTCAAGCTTCAGGGCCCACATGTTACCTGCTCAAGCTTCAGGGCCCACATGTTACCTGCTCAAGCTTCAGGGCCCACATGTTACCTGCTCAAGCTTCAGGGCCCACATGTTACCTGCTCCAGCTTCAGGGCCCACATGTTACCTGCTCAAGCTTCAGGGCCCACATGTTACCTGCTCAAGCTTCAGGGCCCACATGTTACCTGCTCAGCTTCAGGGCCCACATGTTACCTGCTCCAGCTTCAGGGCCCACATGTTACCTGCTCAAGCTTCAGGGCCCACATGTTACCTGCTCAAGCTTCAGGGCCCACATGTTACCTGCTCAAGCTTCAGGGCCCACATGTTACCTGCTCAAGCTTCAGGGCCCACATGTTACCTGCTCAAGCTTCAGGGCCCACATGTTACCTGCTCAAGCTTCAGGGCCCACATGTTACCTGCTCAAGCTTCAGGGCCCACATGTTACCTGCTCCAGCTTCAGGGCCCACATGTTACCTGCTCAAGCTTCAGGGCCCACATGTTACCTGCTCAAGCTTCAGGGCCCACATGTTACCTGCTCAAGCTTCAGGGCCCACATGTTACCTGCTCAAGCTTCAGGGCCCACATGTTACCTGCTCAAGCTTCAGGGCCCACATGTTACCTGCTCAAGCTTCAGGGCCCACATGTTACCTGCTCAAGCTTCAGGGCCCACATGTTACCTGCTCAAGCTTCAGGGCCCACATGTTACCTGCTCAAGCTTCAGGGCCCACATGTTACCTGCTCAAGCTTCAGGGCCCACATGTTACCTGCTCAAGCTTCAGGGCCCACATGTTACCTGCTCAAGCTTCAGGGCCCACATGTTACCTGCTCAAGCTTCAGGGCCCACATGTTACCTGCTCAAGCTTCAGGGCCCACATGTTACCTGCTCAAGCTTCAGGGCCCACATGTTACCTGCTCAAGCTTCAGGGCCCACATGTTACCTGCTCAAGCTTCAGGGCCCACATGTTACCTGCTCAAGCTTCAGGGCCCACATGTTACCTGCTCAAGCTTCAGGGCCCACATGTTACCTGCTCAAGCTTCAGGGCCCACATGTTACCTGCTCAAGCTTCAGGGCCCACATGTTACCTGCTCAAGCTTCAGGGCCCACATGTTACCTGCTCAAGCTTCAGGGCCCACATGTTACCTGCTCAAGCTTCAGGGCCCACATGTTACCTGCTCAAGCTTCAGGGCCCACATGTTACCTGCTCAAGCTTCAGGGCCCACATGTTACCTGCTCAAGCTTCAGGGCCCACATGTTACCTGCTCAAGCTTCAGGGCCCACATGTTACCTGCTCAAGCTTCAGGGCCCACATGTTACTTGCTCAAGCTTCAGGGCCCACATGTTACTTGCTCAAGCTTCAGGGCCCACATGTTACCTGCTCAAGCTTCAGGGCCCACATGTTACCTGCTCCAGCTTCAGGGCCCACATGTTACTTGCTCAAGCTTCAGGGCCCACATGTTACCTGCTCAAGCTTCAGGGCCCACATGTTACCTGCTCCAGCTTCAGGGCCCACATGTTACTTGCTCAAGCTTCAGGGCCCACATGTTACCTGCTCAAGCTTCAGGGCCCACATGTTACCTGCTCAAGCTTCAGGGCCCACATGTTACCTGCTCAAGCTTCAGGGCCCACATGTTACCTGCTCAAGCTTCAGGGCCCACATGTTACCTGCTCAAGCTTCAGTCACAAGCATAATCTAAATGGTAAGAACGTTATAAATGGCACAATCCCAAGAGGCTTCAAATAATGCACAACCTCAAGAGGCTTCAAATAATGCACAACCTCAAGAGGCTTCAAATAATGCACAACCTCAAGAGGCTTCAAATAATGCATAACCTCAAGAGGCTTCAAATAATGCACAACCTCAAGAGGCTTCAAATAATGCATAACCTCAAGAGGCTTCAAATAATGCATAACCTCAAGAGGCTTCAAATAATGCACAACCTCAAGAGGCTTCAAATAATGCACAACCTCAAGAGGCTTCAAATAATGCACAACCTCAAGAGGCTTCAAATAATGCACAACCTCAAGAGGCTTCAAATAATGCACAACCTCAAGAGGCTTCAAATAATGCACAACCTCAAGAGGCTTCAAATAATGCACAACCTCAAGAGGCTTCAAATAATGCACAACCTCAAGAGGCTTCAAATAATGCACAACCTCAAGAGGCTTCAAATAATGCACAACCTCAAGAGGCTTCAAATAATGCACAACCTCAAGAGGCTTCAAATAATGCACAACCTCAAGAGGCTTCAAATAATGCATAACCTCAAGAGGCTTCAAATAATGCACAACCTCAAGAGGCTTCATATAATGCATAACCTCAAGAGGCTTCATATAATGCACAACCTCAAGAGGCTCTATATAATGCACAACCTCAAGAGGCTTCAAATAATGCACAACCTCAAGAGGCTTCAATAATGCATAACCTCAAGAGGCTTCAAATAATGCACAACCTCAAGAGGCTTCACATAACCTCAAGAGGCTTCATATAATGCACAACCTCAAGAGGCTTCAAATAATGCACAACCTCAAGAGGCTTCATATAATGCACAACCTCAAGAGGCTCTATATAATGCACAACCTCAAGAGGCTTCAAATAATGCACAACCTCAAGAGGCTCTATATAATGCACAACCTCAAGAGGCTCTATATAATGCACTTATGCATTATATATTGCAGAATGTTATGAGACTTAACGGAGGTGGTCGTGTTCCTTGTACAGAGGTGGACTCTGTACAAGGAACTTCATCGCACTTCCCCCTTCAGAGCAGGAGAGGTTGCTGAAATAGAGGGAAAACAGAGAACATATACGGCACGCATAGACGCGATAAAACACCTAAATTATTGGGATCGTCTCAAAGCTCTCCAAATGTACTCACTAGAAAGGAGACAAGATAGATACCAAATAATATACACCTGGAAAATACTGGAGGGCCAGGTCCCACATCTACACAGTAAAATAACAACGTACTGGAGTGAACGATATGGAAGAAAAAAGCTGAACAGAACCAGTGAAGAGCAGAGGTGCCATAGGCACAATCAGAGAACACTGTATAAACATCAGAGATCCACGGTTGTTCAATATTCTCCCAGCTAGTATAAGAAATATTGCCGGAACAACCGTGGACATCTTCAAGAGAAAACCAGATTGTTTTCTTCAAGGAGTGCCGGACCAACCGGGCTGTGGTGGGTATGTGGGCCTGCGGGCCGCTCCAAGCAACAGCCTGCTGGACCAAACTCTCACAAGTCAAGCCTGGCCTCGGGCCGGGCTTGGGGAGTAGAAGAACTCCCAGAACCCCATCAAGCAGGTATCAAGCAGGACGAAGCAACATCTGCCCACATGAGGAGGTTAAGGCAGAGGGCAGGCCTAGCAAATCTTCAAGTCTTACAAAGAAAAAATAAGAGGTTTCTGAAGACTGTGACGAGGGCTATCACATCTTTCACGAAGACCTGCAATGTATTCTCCACTTGTGAGGATGCGTGTTGTAGCGAGGTGGCCGTACGCTCGCAAGTCGACCAAAGGAGTGACAGACTATGTCACTCCTTTGGTCAGGAGGTAGGGAGGGCGTATGCTGGCATGGGAAAGGTAAGAGTGAGTGAATGATAACAGTTTGGCCACAAAGAACACGGGCAGACACGGGTAACAATATACCAACACACGGATTCGAACCCGGTCCGGCAGGGTAGCATGGCCCTGGTAGTCCAGTATTATAACCACGCAGCCATACAGTGTCACAAATACTTCTAGTATCGTAAAGTGTATTACTCTAAGATCAGAAGTATTCAAATAAAAAAGGATTGAAAATATAAGACATTCAAAATGGCCACCGAAGGGAACTATCAAGCTAGGCTTTTAAATTGAAGACAAATTGGTAAACTGAGATTAACTTTGAAAGATAAATAGTTCTAAGTTTAGGAAATGATAACGGAGTCACCAGAGCTCATCTGGACAATGTTGACATTGCGAAATTTAACTGCGAGAAAAAGCTAACAAGATTCTGGGATGTCTTGGCATGCGTTAGCAATTACACATTTATTAATTTAACATGATTCTTGAGCGTCATGTTTCCTCCGCGAGGGATCACGGAGCTCAGTTTCGCTCTGCACACTACAAAATGCACATTAATTCTCTTGCATGGGAATAACGAATAATGAAAAAGTTAATTCCAGGAATCAGAAGCCTCCTTTATAAAGAGAGAGAGAAAAAAGAGAGCAATTTACATTCTCTATGACGACGCAGAGTTTGGCGTAACATTACTAAAGTGGCTAGCTCCAGCAATGTTAGAAAAAGGCCATATATATATATATATATATATATATATATATATATATATATATATATATATATATATATATATATATATATATATATATATATATATATATATATATGCGAACCAGCCTGAATGGTCCCCAGGACTATATGCGACTGAAAACTCACACCCCAGAAGTGACTCGAACCCATACTCCCAGGAGCAATGCAACTGGTAACTACAGGGCGCCTTAATCCGCTTGACCATCACGGCCGGACAAAAGGAAGTGATAGCCAAGGCTATTTGAACCTCATATTTGAATGAGGTGATTTGGTGAAATGCTATGCCCAAGATTACCATCCGAGTTGCCGGCGGGGAAGTGGTTCAAATAGCCTTGGCTATCACTTCCTTTTGTCCGGCCGTGATGGTCAAGCGGATTAAGGCGCCCTGTAGTTACCAGTTGCGTTGCTCCTGGGAGTATGGGTTCGAGTCACTTCTGGGGTGTGAGTTTTCAGTCATATATATATATATATATATATATATATATATATATATATATATATATATATATATATATATATATATATATATATATATATATATATATATATATATATATATATATATATATATATATAATATATATATATATATATATATATATATATATATATATATATATATATATATATATATATATATATATATATATATATATATACATATATATATATATATATATATATATATATATATATATATATATATATATATATATATATATATATATATATATATATATATATATATATATATATATATATATAAATAAATGTATTAACACAAAATTGAGCACGAAACAATGGGAATAATTTTTAGAGGTTTAGATTCAGGAAAGACGTTTTGTTTCAAGCGAAGGTGAGACATACCTATGAATGTACTTGGCTACATAAGTACTGGAGCTGCTTTGAGTGGGCCAACAGTTCTGGTGCATTTTCTGTATTATAATATTCATATGCTGGAAAGGTTTCATACATAGCAGACATACAGCCAGAGGCTTCATTCATTATACATCCTTCATGTATGTTATAACCTCACAAGAGAATCCATACATAGCCGACGCAGCCAGGAGTTATACAATGAATAACTTCTACGGTTTAAAAGACTCCATATACGGCACTACCTCGTAGTACGGTGCGATTCGTTCTCGGTTCATACTCGAGAGCTCCGGGTTCGAATCCCAGACGGAAGAAAACTGATTGGGCGCGTTTTGCAATGCCCCTGTTCACCTAGCAGTAAATAGGAGATTAGCTTGTTGTGGGGAGCGGCCTTGATGTGTGTGTGTATGGGGGGGGGAGTCAGTACCTTGGGGATACTTGGGGGGGGGGGGGCCTTCATGAAAGTCTAACATGTAAATATACACAGGCTGCCTGTCCCGAGAATGATTTTAAATGAAGTATTAACCAATGCCTCCATGCGAGGCACTAGCCTAAGCGGAGTCCTCACACAAGACACCAGCGTCATACGACTCTAAAAGGGTTATATTAGGCCTAAAGTGAAGGGAGTCATGTGTATATTTATATAACCACTTGGAGAGACACCCAAGACTTACTCCAGATGTTCATCTTCAGCCTAGCTGTACCCTCAAACCGCTCAACAAGTCTTGAACTTATCATATATATATATATATATATATATATATATATATATATATATATATATATATATATATATATATATATATATATATATATATATATATATATATATATATATATATATATATATATATATATATATATATATATATATATATATATATATATATATATATATATATATATATATATATATATATATATATATATATATATATATATATATATATATATATACATATAAATTTACGAAGACACACACATCTTCAAAATAACTCGAAACGTAGAGAATTTTTTTTTAATTTCGTGTTGGGTTGTGAATGGTGGTGTTCGTTTTGGTCAGGCACTATATATAGGGAGTACTGCAGGACTATCCACTGAGTCTTTCTATAAAGATAGCCGCAGAGAGAGAGAGATAGAGAGAGAGAGAGAGAGAGAGAGAGAGAGAGAGAGAGAGAGAGAGAGAGAGAGAGAGAGAGAGAGAGAGAGAGAGAGAGACAGAGAGGGGCAGGAGAGTCAAGGGCAAGTCGACCTCTCAGGCTATAGAGTTTCCCGCCCTTGAGTGCCATGACTTAAGTGGAGTTCTCCGCTGCTAAGTTGAGAGCCGGCTACAGGAGATGTCGCCCAGATCTTAAACCTACATACAAACTGTCAATTAGCAGGTGGGATTTACTCGTTAGGTCCGTCCACGGGGCATCAAACTCCTCCAGGCATGTCAGCATACCAAGGGCAAGGCATCTTTTTGTTCACAACAATGGCTACAGCACTTGGCAATAGTTGGCCTAATAATTGTAAATGCTGAATTAGTTACGAAAACAGCCAGACTGTAGCAGTCAGACTGTAACAGCCAGACTGTAACAGTCAGACTGTAACAACCAGACTGTAACAGCCAGACTGTAACAGCCAGATTGAAGCAGCCAGACTGTAACAGCCAGATTGAAGCAGCCAGACTGTAACAGCCAGACTCTAGAAGCCAGACTGTAACAGCCAGACTGTAACAGCCAGACTGTTACAGCCAGACTGTAGCAGCCAGACTGTAACAGCCAGACTGTAACAGCCAGACTGTAATAGCCAGACTGTAACAGCCAGACTGCAACAGCCAGACTGTAATAACCAGACTGTAACAGCCAGACTGTAATAGCCAGACTGTAACAGCCAGACTGTAACAGCAAGACTGTAACAGCCAGACTGTAACAGCCAGACTGTAATAGCCAGACTGTAACAGTCAGACTGTAACAGCCAGACTGTAGCAGCCAGACTGTAACAGCCATACTGTAACAGCCATACTGTAACAGCCAAACTGTAACAGCCAGACTGTAGCAGCCAGACTGTAGCAGCCAGACTGTAACAGCCAGACTGTAATAGCCAGACTGTAGCAGCCAGACTGTAACAGTCAGACTGTAACAGCCGGACTGTAGCAGCCAGACTGTAGCAGCCAGACTGTAGCAGCCAGACTGTAGCCAGACAGCCAGACTGTAACAGCCAGACTGTAACAGCCAGACTGTAA